GGGCGCGATGGTATCACCCGGGGTGGGGTGACCTCGCCTGCCCAGGTGGTGACCTCACCTGCCCAGGTGATGACGTCACACCCCGGGGTGGGGGGGGGGATGTTGTCGCCCGCAGGCCCCAACCCACAGGTGGCGAAGGGGACCCACGTCCTCATCCCGTTGGGCGAAACCTCGGCCACTGGTTGGACAGCTGAGGAAGAGGAGCTAGAGGAGGGGGCGGAGCCCCCGGGAGGCCCCGCCCTCAACATCTGCCTCACGGCCCCGCCCGACGCTCCCATCGGCCGCTACCGCCTCAGCATCAAGACCCGCACGGGGGTGGGGGAGTATGCGGCTCCCTTCGACGACGCCAACGACTTCTTCCTCCTCTTCAACCCCTGGTGCCCTGGTGAGCCAGCCCCGTTTTGGGGCAAAAAACCCCGAGTTTGGGCAATTTGGGGGCTCCCCAGGGTGAGATTTGGCAGTTTCGGGGCTCCCCAGGGTGAGATTTGGCGGTTTCGGGGCTCCCCAGTCTCAATTTGGCAGTTTCGGGGCTCCCCGGGGTGAGATTTAGCGGTTTCAGGGCTCCCCAGTCTCAATTTGGCAGTTGGGGGGTTCAAGGGGGGGGGCTCAGGGGGAATTTAAGGACACAACCCTGATTTTGGGGCGCCCCCCCCCCTCCAGACGACAACGTCTACATGGACAAAACGAGCGACCTTAACGAGTACGTCCTTAACGAGACGGGGCGCATCTTCTACGGCACCGAGGACCAGATCGCCGAGCGCTCCTGGAACTACGGGCAGGTACCCCCAAAAAAGGGGGAAATCCCCCCCCCCCCCCCAAAAAAAATTGGGGAGACCCTGAAATCCGTGCGGGAAATGGGGCGGGGGCAATTAAAATGCGGTGGGCACCCCAAAAATCGGTGGATATCCTAAAATGGGGGACCCTAAATTTGGGGGATACCCGAAACGCTATGGGGGGGGTCCCTAAAATCATCATGGGGGTCCCCAAAACCACCAACGTGGGTGTTTCATAACTATAAGGGATCCCCGGAACAACACGGGGGGACCCCGAAACCGCTTTTTTTTTTTTTTTTTTTTGAGAAGCGTTTTTTTTGAGAGGGGTGGGGGATTTTTGGGGTGGTTTGGAGGGATTTGGGGACCCCCGTGATTTTGGGGGGGGGGTCCCCAGTTTGACGCAGGGGTGCTGGAGGCGTGTCTGTACATCCTGGATCGTCGGGGGATGCCCCACAGCGCCCGGGGGGACCCCATCATCGTGTCCCGCGTCGTCTCCGCCATGGTGGGTTTTTTTTGGGGTGAATTATGGGGGATTTGGGGTGAAGCGGGAAGGTGACTTAGAGGATTTGGGGGGG